CTCTCTTTGACGAAACTTTGGTCGAACTCTTCTGAGCTCTTTTTAACCATGCCTCAACTTTTGAACATACATGTTACTTTCTGCATTGTCCAATTTAGCTAGAATCTTCTCAGTTTAGCCAGAATTTTTCATCCTTGATATCTGATCACACTTTGGTATCTGATCAGGTTTCCTTCCTCCACAATGCCTCAGGTAAAATTTATTACCCTGGTCTGCCTTCAGCAAGAATCTCATCAGATATGTTAGCCAGAATCCCCTCTTATGCCAAATGTTACCTCTTAGTAATTTTTATCCAGTAATCCCCTTGCCTTATGCTCTTTGGCTATTAATTCCCACTTTTTCTTGTGGTATTCAGAGTTGAGGCCAATTTCTCTCTCCTACTATAAAATCCTATTGTGATAGCCTTCCTGTGCAACTATTGCAATATTCCTTTTTGAATAGTCTGCTTTACTATTCTTTAATGGGTGTCATGAAGAATTTTTTCATTAACAAAAATCATATTTGAGTTGGATTTTCGTGAAAGCAGGGAAGGTGGGAGGTTTTTTTTAGGCATATAGAACAGGATGCATGAATGTGGGGATGTGAAAGAGGATGGCAGATTCATGCAAATTATAAAATTTAAAGCTCATGAGAGCAGAACTGTTTAGTTCAGGAATGTGAGAAGCAGGAAATTGAAGCTGGTAAAATTTGGCAAGACTGATTATAAAGTTGTGCATGGGGCCAGGTGTGGTGGCTCACGCCTGTAATCCCAGTACTTTGGGAGGCTGAGGCAGGCAGATCCGCTGAGGTCAGGAGTTCGAGACCAGCCTGGCTAACATGGTGAAACCTTGTCTCTACTAAAAATACAAAATTAGCCAGGCATGGTGGTATGCACCTATAATCCCAGCTACTCAAGAGGCTGAGGCAGGAGAATCACTTGAACCCAGGAGGTGGAAGTTGCAGTAAGCCGAGATTGCACCACTGAACTCCAGCCTGGGTGACAGAGCAAGACTCTGTCGAACAAAAAATATTATTCATGGGTAATTACATGGCACAGTAAAAAGTTTCAATCTTAGCTTTTAGGTAAAATAAAGATAATGATATTGAAAAATGTAAAAGAATTGAAAGAGCCCTATGGGAGGAAGATGGAGAGTAGAGAACAGACAAAGAAAAGTCATTAGAAAGCTACTCATGGGAAGGTATAAGTGAGAACCAATTTAGCTCCTAGAAATACCGGAGGACCAAGTTTGTTTGTTTTTTTCCCCCATTTGTTTATTTTATTGCATTTTAGGTTTTGGGGTACATGTGAAGAACATGCAAAATTGTTGCACAGGTACACACGTGGCAGTGTGATTTGCTGCCTTCCTCCTCATCACCTACATCTGGCATTTCTCTCCTTGCTATCTCTCCCCAGCTCCCCACACATCTAACAGAGTTGATAAGCTAACATTATGAACAATTATGTGGTTATATATTGTTTTGCTTAGACAATGCAAACTCAGCTTAATTTTTCTTACCTATAAGGTAAAAAAACAAAAAACAAACAAAAAACAAACCAGTGACCTCAGAAAGATATCATACTATATGAAACCTAGTTTAAAATACAGTTTGGAAGAGTCTTACTTGCCTTCATCTAACATTTTCTTTCCAGAATTTGCCTCTCCCAAGTAAACAGAATGTTCCGTAGATAACCACACAGTTTTTAGTGTCTAATGGAGCAACCACACTCTTCAGAAAAGAGGATAGGCAATAGACACATTTTTTTTTAAAATAAAGACAGGGTATTTCTCTCTCACCCAGGCTGGAATGCAGTGGAGAAATCATAGCTCACTCTAACCTCCAATTCCTGGGCTCACTCTAACCACCTTACCTTCCTAAGTAGATGTGACTATAGACATATACCAACACACTTAGGTAATTAAAAAAAAAATTGTAGAGATTGGGTCTCGCTATGTTGCCCAGGTTGCCTAAGCTAGACTATATTTGTAAAAGCCAATTTCATAAAAGTAATAGAAATACATGTCATAGTATGCATTAGAAGACTTCAATATGACAAAAAGACATGTCATCAAGACAGAAGTAATCTATGAAATCCACATTACCAAAAAAGGATTAGTTTTCACAACATTTTTAGATTTTCTATAAATTAATAAGTAACAGACAAGCAAACCAAGAGAGACATCCACAAAAGATTGACAGGCAATTCACAGAACATAAAACTCAAGTATTCATTGATCATATGTGAAAATACATTCAAACTCACCAATATTAGAAAAGTGTTCTTCTCCAAAGGAAAAAAGGAATGGGATGAGATTGGGAAATACAGCCAAAATACTATTTTATGTGTAACATTTAATGTCTTTAAACAACAGCTGAGAATTATTGGTAAATGTTAACACATGGTTATAGGTAGTAAGCACATGCCTGTTTGATTTGCTTTCTATATGTTAAACTGTGGTTCTGTTTTAAGATATTTGAGAAATCTCCATACTGCTTTCCACAGTGGCTGAACACATTTACATTCTCACCAGCAATGTATAAGCACCTTTTCTCTGTAGCCTCAACAGTATGTATTTTTTTTCGATGTTTTAATAAGAGCCATTCTGCATGCTCACGGATGGGTAGAATCTATATTGTGAAAATGACCACACTGCCAAAAGCAGTCTACAAATTCAATGCAATTCCTACCAAAATACCAAAATCATTTTTCACAGAACTACAGAAAACAATCCTAAAATTCATATGGAACCAAAAAAGAGCCCACATAGCCAAAGCAAGACAAAGCAGAAGGAACGAATCTGGAGACATCACATTACCTAACTTCAAACTATACTATAAGGTCATAGCCACCAAAACAGCATGTTAATAGTATAAAAATAGGCACATAGACCAATGGAAGAGAATAGAGAACATATAAATAAACCTACATACTTATAACCAACTAATCGTTGACAAAGAAAACATAAACATAAAGTGGTGAAAGGACACCCTAATCAACGAATGGTGCTGGGATAATTGGCAAGCCACATGTAGGAGAATGAAACTAGATCTTCATCTCTCATCTTATACAAAAATATATTCAAGATAGAGCAAGGTACTTAAATCTAAGACCTGAAAATATAAAAATTCTAGAAGATAACACCAAAGAAACCCCTCTAGACATTGGCTTAGGCAAAGACTTCATGACCATGACCCAAAAGTAAATGCAACAAATCAAAGATAAATAGGTGGGATTTAATTAAAGAGCTTCCACACAGCAAAAGAACAGTCAACAGAGTAAACAGACAACATACAGAGTGGAAGAAAATCTTCACAATCTATACATCTGTCAGAGGACTAATATCCAGAATCTACAAGAAACTCAAACAAATTAGGAAGAAAAAAAATAATCTTATCAGAAAGCGGGCTAAGGACATGAACAGATAATTCTCAAAAGAAGATACACAAATGGTCAACAAATATACAAAAAAATGCTCAACATCACTAATGATCAGGGAAATGCAAATTAAAGCCACAATGCAATACCACGTTACTCCTGCAAGAATGGCCATAGTGAAAAAAAATGAAAAAATTATAGATGTTGTCATGGATGCAGTGAAAAGAACATGTCTGCACTGCTGGTAGGAATGCAAACTAGTACAACCATGATGGAAAACAGTGTGGAGATTCCTGAGAGAACTAAGAGTAAAACTACCATTTAATCCAGCAACCTCACCACTGGGTATCTACCCAGAGGAGAAGAAGTCAGTATACATAAAAGATACTTGCACACCCAAGTTTATAGCAGCGCAATTTACAATTCCAAAAATATAGAACCAGCCCAAATGTCTATCAATCAATGAGTGAATAAACTGTGATATATATATATATATATATATGTGTGTAGTATGTGCCTTTACTACATAAATTTATTGTAAGCAGTGAATAAGTTCATGTAAAAGAAAGTGATATTCAAATGTGAAGAAAAGGTATGGAAATTCTCAAATTTGCAGGTAATGTAAAATTAAATGAACATACTTTTCTATTTAATATTATTCTAAACTTACTGAAACATATATATACACCATATATGTGTGTGTATGTGTGTGTGTGTGTGTATAAAGTTATACACACACACACACACAAACACACACACACACACACAATGGAATACTACTCAGCCATAAAATGGAATGAATTAATGAATTAATGGCATTAACAGTAACCTGGATGAACTGGAGACTATTACTCTAAGTAATTCAGGAATAGAAAGCTAAACATTGTATGTTCTCACTCATAAGTGGGAGCTAAACTATGGGAATACAAATGCATAAGAATGATACAATGGACTTTGGGAACTCTGGGGAAAGGGTTGGAGGTGGGTGAGGGATAAAAGACTACAAACTGGGTTTAGCATATACTGTTTGATTGATGGGTACACCAAAATCTCACAAATCACCAACTTACTTATGTAACCAAATACCACCTGTTCCCCAAAAACCTATGCAAATAAAAATTTAAAATAATAATAAAAATAGCCATTACTACTGATATGAGATTGTATCTCATTGTGGTTTTGATTTAAATTGTATTTTTGAAATACTTATTAAATTAACATATATAACAATTTTACTATCCTGTTCTATAAAAATTTCTTTATCACTTTCATGAGGTAAAATGATACGGAAGGCAGTATGAGTTAGAGGAAGAACACAGAAATAAGAGTTGGAATTCTAATATCCAGTCCCAAATCTGCCACCTACCTACTGTGAAACCTTGAGAAAATCATTCTTCTGAAACTGATTATCCAGCTAAAACCTTAAATAGTGTGTGCTTCTACTATATAAAGTTATTTTAAGGAGTAAATTAGTTCATGTATAAGAAAGTAATATTCAAATATGAAGAAAAAGTATGGAAATTCTCAAATTTGCAGGTAATGTAAAATTAAATGAACATACTTTTCTATTTATTATCATACTTAACTTACTGAAACATATTAGAAGCAAAATTGGGGATTATAAAAGACACACATATTATCTTACCGGGTCTGTTAGCTGAGAGTAGAGTTCATGGCAATTGTCAAAAATGTACTTGTATGTAGAATCCAGGCAAGCCCTTACACAATCCTTCACCACCATGCTAGCTTTTGGGGGGCTTTGCAGCTCCAGGACCTGATAAAGAGAGGCACTTATTTTCTCAACTGCAACAATAAAACTTTGTAATCCAGTACAAACTACTCAAATATATATTCAATAAATACTTTTAGTTGATTTTTCTATGTTCAATTGGTGTCATCGTACCATAGGGTTTTAAATATGTAAATATTCATTTTAACTTGCTGATATAGAAACTTATTGAAAATGATAATGGTTGTAAACACTCACATGAAAACACTTAATGTGACCAGTGAAAACTTCATACATTCTTTGATTTCATTTCATTCCATCATTCAACAAACATTTGTCACTTCCTATATGTCAAATAATGGTGATACAGCAGTGAATGACAGAAACAAAAAATCCCTTTCCTTACAGGCTTAATTTTCAGTAGATAATCAACAAAATAAATATGTGAAATATATGATGAAGCATGTCGAAAAGAAAAATGGAGGAAAAATAGGAAGTGCTTAGATGACTATTTTGAGGAGCTTTGCTATTAAGGGAAATGAACTGCGGTAGCAGCTATAGAAGAAAGCAAAGACAAACAGTATTTTGAAGACTGTAAAATCAGTAACATGTACATAGGGGAAAGCTGACAATTTAGGAGAGTGGAGAGGACTGCTAGACGAATATTTCAGTGCACAAGAGAAGAAAAAATCAATTGCACATGTAGAAGAGACCGCATTTTCTAGGAAAACAGGGGGTTCATCAACAGCAAAAAAAAAAAAAAAAAAGAATATGTGGACACATACAAGGGAGCATGTACTGGGGGAGGTTGCGGGAATATATGGTTGGAGCTTGAGGATGCTCCTCTTTCTTCCTATTTTTTTTTTTCATTGAAATAGAAAGCAAAGTAATCAGCTGGTAGTGAGGGTCAGGGAGGAGTAGTTACAAGTTTAAGGAAATAGTGGTTTAAAGCAAGGAGGCATGACAGATGAGTGGCAATGTCCTGGCACTTCCCATCTTCACTCTGGTTCCTCAGTCCTCAGTGTCAATGGCAGACATCACTTGTCAATCCAAGTCCACTTGATTGGGTCTCCCCATCATTATCTGCACATTGTTCCAGAAGCTACTGACAGTGCATTAGAACTGATGTAAATTCTATTTATTCTAGTCACCTAGCTCAGCCTGATTTTAAACCAAATGAATATTAATTTAACTTTAAAGAATCTAAATGAGCACTGATGAAGTTTTTATGTATCTCTCTCTCTCTCTCTCTCTCTCTCTCAACAAAATGCCATTTTTAGAGATTCTAATTAAAAAAATATGGGCAAATGAAAAGAAAAAAATGTTTCTATTTAGGAATTTTCTGAATAAGCATCATAACGCTCTCTATCAAAGAGCATATATTTTAGCCCATAGCCTGGCAAATAGTTTCTGAAAATGCTTTACATAGGTTGCATTGTAAGCCAAAACTATGACTGCAGAGAAGTTTCAATTAAAGCAAACTATATATCTAATAATAAATGCCTGGTTTGTAAGGCCTAGCCAATTATACCAATAGATAAGTGATCGAATATATTCCTACATAGACATTCCCAGGGCTGAATATGGAAGTTGCCACAACTGGAGTAAACTTAAAAGAGTCAGCTACTCTCTTGCAGCAAAAAAGTCAGCAAAACATCTAAGCTAAAACTAAAATTAGAAGGGAACTCCATTTCCATTTAACATTCTTCGGATATTTTTTTAAGAGCCACTTCCACTTACTAGAGAGCTTTATCTAAAATGGATTTAACTGAGAACTAAATTTGAGCCAAATGTATCAGAGTATTTTAAGTGTCTAGGATGATCCCTTCTTCACTATACCTTATATTGGAAGATTCATCGAGTTCAGGCAAAGAATAGTACAGCTCAATCGATGGGGTTGACACAGTACTTGATCAAGAAGAGGGTGAAGCAAGACTTTAATGGGGGTGAATGTATTCTATGTCATACCGAAATGGTGACAGAAATAAAATAAGATACCTTCATCCTAAAAAAGGTGATGCTTGTTAACAGGTCAACAGTTGATTTCAGGTCTTGCAGTCTTTCAGTATTGCTTGCAGGAAAGTTTTCCTGGTTCATTAGGAAACAGAAAAATGGATAAAGTTGTCAGCATGAAACCTCCTGTGGGAAAATAAACTAAAACCAGCTTCCTGTGAAAGAAAATGGAAAGCAAACTATGCAATTTTTAAAATACCCCTAAAGCATCCTTAAAATATTTTTATCATAAAAGATTAAAGAATATAAATAATTTGAAAATATTATCTTTATACTCTTCAAAAGCTGTACTCTTCTATTTATCCTTATGATGCAATAAAATGCAAAACATTATCATTATTACAATGCTATGATGTTATTAATGCTTGCTTCTAAAACAGTCTTGCTACTAAAATTAGGAAGTGTACATGTGAAAATATTTTCATGATTCTCTCAAGATAGATACTTTTTAAAAAAATAATTTGGAAATTATACATGTGCTGCATTTGCTTTTAGTCACAAAAAACTTTTAAAAGTTAAAAAAATAAGTTTGCCTCATTAGCATCTCCTGAAGTTTGACGGGAAGTATCATTTAAAAATACAGATGTTCATAATTTTGAAGGAAAGAAAAGTTATAATTAAAAATTTTTTGAACTAAGAAACAATTTTAATTTTGGTCAATTTCACATATTAACATGCTCTTCTGAAGAGCCATTAGGAAAAACCACAGCTAATTACTAGATATTCATGAACTTGAAGAGGGTTATTATGCCTATGATAAGGTGGTGAAGGACGGAGCTTCAAGGCCCTTCTTGCCACCAGATATCTCTCTCTATGGCTTGCATGGTTGTTCTCTTCTCATTATGTTGGCCCCAGATCCATCATAAAATATCCAATTTTAAATAATAACAAATTTGATAAAATTTGGTATTATTACTTCTATAAGTATGCAATTAAAGTATTCAATAAGAGACTAACTAAAAATGAATACCTGGGAGATAGACAAGTTCAAATTGACTTAGGATAAATTGTTAAAGAACACAAGATGTAAGAGAGCATCTATTAGTTATGACTACAGGCATTTTGTAACTAAAATTTGTAACTAAATTTTTGTAACTATTTTGTAACTAAAATTATGTGTGTGTATATTTATTCACATATATAAATGAATATATTTGTAGTATGTGTATTTGTTTCCCTGGGAGGTGATATATAGAACTGTTGACAGTGAACTGTGGACAGCTTTCCAAGAACATATGATACTCTTGGTACCATGATCCAGGAGGAGAGAGAATAAGGCAGAAAATTAAGTAGGAAGCTCAAAAACTGGGGAAATATCAGCAGAATATTTCAGTAACAAAGGATGAGTTTTCAAAATAAGAAGTGGGCCATAGTCTAATTCATAAATTAGCTGAGTGTCACTGAATCTGATGGCCATTTAAAAAATTATAAAATTAAAGTTGCATGTATGTACACAACACACACACACACACTCACACAGTATTGTTGTAGTCTATCTATTTAAGGGTGATAGCACCTGAGATCAATATTTTTACTTTTCTATTACATAATGGGTAATTTTTACAATATGGTAAGAAATTATCTACACCAAACATATCAGTTTGCTTTCAGGAAAGTAATTTTGTACATACCCTATACTTTGACAGATCAATCCTCAAAGAGTTATGCAACTGGTCCAGTAGTTTTATGAATTTTTCCCTCTGTACAAAGCAAACACAAAATAGGAGAATGGAAATACATGACTATTCTAAAGGCCTCATAATAATTCTTAGTTTTGTCTCTATTTTATAGAAGGGGAGGATCAAATATATCAATGACTTGTCTAAGATTACAAAGTTACTATGTGGCATAGCAGTGATTCCAACTCTGGTCTCTTTGACACCGAATTCATGGTCTTTTCCATAAGTCATACTCCTCTCCGTGATGAATGAGAAATGTATAACTGTTCTAACAAAGTATCTAGAGACTTGCATTTTATAGAAAGAGAGCAGACAAGTAAATTTCTCTGTGCGTAATAATTCACAACAATGTAATGCATCAGCAAGAGAAAATATAACCCATCCTTCTTTTTATTCCTGTACCCCATGCCATCTCTCCAGACAATGTATTACAGTTTTTACACTTCTCCTACCTACAGAAGTGGGAACAGCTGTTATTTCTGTCAAAACCAATTTGAAAAAAAAAATTCTTTTTGGAAGCAAACATAGACTTCATAATCTAAGAGGATCGATTGCTTTTAAAGACAGTGTATGATTTAGTGCTAAAAATAGTATAAAATGAAGCCAAAAAAACTGCTGTTGCTTCCTTTTGATGTGGTTTCAGTGTTGTACTGTCCTCACAGAAGTATTTGAAGGCAGTGAAAATAGAGAGCTTTTCTCTTAAGTATATGGTTAAATATTGTGTGGATTAAATAAAAACAAAGACAAAACATAAAAGTCATACATAATACAATCCTTATAGGTAGACACACCACTATTCCGGATCCCAGTTTTCTCATCAAAAAAAAAAAAAAAAAAATGGGAGATGTAAGATTAAATGACATCAAATGTCCCTGCCAATATTAATATTCTGTAAACACCAAATTGCATTTTGGAGGATATTGACAAAAATGAAAACTTCTCCCACTAGTCACATAGGAGGTGGATTTATGGGGTATATAACTCTTATGCCTTAAAGTCACCGATATTGATGGAGTGAGCTGAATATTAACAGGAGTTGATAAATTGTTTTTAAGCCGAAGCTCCAATTTTCTAAATAAAATGCCATCATCAGATTTATACATCAGTGAAGAAAGTTTGAGCCCCACCTTTGTGTTAATCTCTGTGGAGGCAATAAAGAAGCCTAAGAAATGAGCCCTGCCTTCCAGAGCACGCAGTCTCGTTAGGCAGGTTAAGACCCTTTACTGCAACAAAGCTATAGAAAATACAGATGAATTCAATGTCTTAGATCTTTCTCTGCCACTCTCCATTATAGCTTCCCAGGGGATGAGACAAACTATACAGTCTTAACTCTCCAACTTCCATGCATTTGTGTTGGTGGCCCTCAATTCAGATGAGAAAAGAGAAGAACCACTAAAAGAATTAGTTTAGGTCACAGTAAAGTTAATCATTCAGGTAATTATAAAAGTGAGCGTGATTTGTATTACGTCTCTGGATACCTTAACTTGTATCTGTGATTGGCACAAATCATCAAGACAGTTAAAGTGATTGATCAACCATATTATGGCCCAAATCATTGTCCCTCTTACACACACTAGGGCAAATCGTGGTGGTTGTCTGCCAAATATGCATTCTTCCGCTGTTCCTTACTAAAAGAATATCATGTGTTAAATGCACCCATATGAAATGCTCATCCTCTCAGACCTCTTTTCCTCCAATAATGACTACATAACATGTTTTTGGCCAATGAAATGTAAACCGCTAATTAAATAAAATAGACCCAGCTACCATTCTACCAATGACTTAATGTTTTGAAAGATTTTAAGAGTGCCTGGCAGACAGTGTTTGCTATTTCAGTGTTTGCTATATAATTCTTTGTTAGGGATACCTTTCAGACTTTTTAACTTTTGTCCTTTGTGCTTCTTCCCTTTTCTCACCTAAAACTCTAATAGACTCCAGAAGATAGAGTACTTATTTCATCCCCATTAGATGAAAATGAAAAGAACAAATGGAAAAAAAGGATTGCCTATATCCACCCCACCCCATCTGCCCACCCTTTAAAATACTACAATACTGAGCAGCTATACCACCTCTGATTTCACCTCTGGACTCAGGTTCCATGGATGGGAAAGGAGAGGGGGAAATCTTATTTATTTAAATGTATTAAGTGAGTTTCTATTTCGTGCAGTTGAACAGAATTCTGACTGATACAGTTCACACATTTGGTTTCCCTACTTAGTTTCTGGTGCCCAGCTGGAAAATTTACATTCAAGGAAAATAGAAAACTGTGAAGAAAACTGCTGGGCTTCTTGTCACTGAATCCGGAACAACATCAGATGACGTGAAATTAAAAGCATGCTGCTGATTGAATCTTCATAGAGATTCTTTAAACAGCAGGACAGCTTGAAATTTAATTTTATTTACAACATTTTGACTTAACTAGAGTGAGATTGCCTTTGCAGAGTAGAGGAAGCCTGTAGGGTGTGATTTGAGGAATAACAAAAGACTGGGTGATTAAAAAATGTTTCCCCGAGGGACATGGCACAATATCTAAAACTGCCACATTATTCAGTTTTTTTTAATTAAATAAGGGCCACGTATGTCTAGTAGGGGGCAAATCAATAATAAAAATAATAATTATTATCACAGGTTCAAAAATACAGTTAGAATAAGATCTGGTGTTTTGTAGCACAATAGGGCAACTATAGTTAAGAGTAATTCACTGTATATTTCAAAATAACTAAAAGAGTGGAATTGGAATGTTCCTGACATGAAAAATTGATAAATGCTTGAGATGATATTCCAGTTATTCTGATTTTATCATTACATATTGTATGCATGTATCAAAATTTCCCTTGTACTGCATAAATATGTACAACTATCATGTATCTGATGAGAAATTAAAATAAATTTTAAAAATAAAAGGTAAATCTAAGCAAAAAAATAAAGAACCTGGTTTAATTGGTTGACCAGAATAACATACTAGGTATCAGTAAACTATCTACAAAGGGCTAGTTAGTAAATATTTTTCATTTTGACAACTCTGTCTCAACTATTCAGTCTGACGCTATAGCATAATAGTTGCCATAGACAATGTGTAAACTAATAGGCATGACTGCTTTCCGATGATATTTTATTTATGGATGTGGAAATTTGAATTTTAGGTAGTTTTAATGGGTCACAAAATAACAGTCTTTAAATTTTTTTTCAACATTAAGAAGTATTTTAAAAATTCTTAGCTATGGGCCTTACAAAACTAGTTGGTGAGTTGGTAGACTGGATTTGGCCCATGGGCAGTAGGGAGGAGGCAGTTGCTCCCCTGATTGTGCACCTTCAGGAAGTTTCCCCCAGGATGTGGGGAACTGTGGAAGGAAAAGCTCTTGTAAGGAAGGGGTATGATAACCTCTGCATCACCCTCAGCTTCTCTCATTAATTTCTTTCTTTCTCAAAGTTTGGCTCCAACAGCAGGGATGAATTTAACCAGAAGGTAATGATGTTTAAGCGTCTCAGCTCTCACCTACTTCAGCATGCCTGGGAGGAGCTAACTATGTATTCATGCTATCTTAGATTTTTGTAAAATTTTCAGGAATAAGATCAAAAGAATTCAGAACACGCTGAGCAAATTGTAACACTTTTTTTCCAGATCATACCAAAAACCCCAATTCATAAAGACTTTTCAAATAGAAATAATGCATAGTCAATTTTGATAATTTTAAAATAATTCAACTAGTATTAAATATATGAACATATATTTACAGCTCTTATTGATTTGAGATTAATTTTGATACCAACAGAAATATCACAAAATTATGAAAGGCCACTAAAATGATACTTTCAATGACAAACAAATTAATAAATTTCATCAATTCAAAGTATATTTAAAGAGTCCCTTCACAGGAAAACTTGAAAAGCATTGAAATGTTATAGTTCACTGATCAAGACACCCTTCGCATACCCCTCAGCCTGATTAAAGTTTAGATAGGCTTCTGCCTGACTCTACTTCTAGGCCTCCCTTTTCTTAAAGCATTTTCTTTAGAACACTTGTAATTGTTCTTTTTCTGCTCCTTCACATGTAAATATTTTTAAAAGCCTCTTGTCAGTTTCATAACCCAAGAATGTCTCCCGGAAAGACATGGGAGACTTCCCTTTGAAATGTAATCATCAAGCTGAGAGCACCCCTATCCCCCACCCTCATTGGGATGATAGGAGCTTAACTTCCAAAAGATATAATTAGCAAACAAAAATGGCATAATCACAGAAAAAAAAAATTGCAAACTTGTTTTTAGTGCACTGGTTACATCCGATTACTCAACCTCCCCACTGTCATCCTTCACCACTTTCTCCTTATTTTAGTCTTGCCTTTCATTTCAGTGGAGTTGAGCTCAAATTGAGTTCTGGCCTCTCTGCCCTATTGCAATAGCCTTGAATAAGGTTCACCTTGCCCGTTTAATTTTGTCAGCTGCAATTTTTGCTTTTACATCACAAATGAAAAAAAAAATAGGTATTTCAAAAATTTTATGAAAATCACTAAAATCCATGTAGCATAGTGAAAGTGAAACAAACTCTTCTAAAGTGTTAATTAAAAATGTCAATTCTGCTAAATTAAAAAAATCATAAAAATATTTCACATTTAGGCCGGGCGCGGTGGCTCAAGCCTGTAATCCGAGCACTGTGGGAGGCCGAGGCGTGTGGATCACGAGGTCAAGAGATCGAGACCATCCTGGTCAACATGGTGAAACCCCGTCTCTACTAAAAGTACAAAAAATTAGCTGGGCATGGTGGCGCGTGCCTGTAATCCCAGCGACTCAGGAGGCTGGGGCAGGAGAATTGCCTGAACCCGGGAGGCAGAGGTTGCGATGAGCCGAGATCGCGCCATTGCACTCCAGCCTGGGTAACAAGAGGGAAACTCCGTCTCAAAAAAAAAAAAAAAAAAATTTCACATTTCTTTTTGTCATATGAAGAAGTGATTTTAAAAAATGCAGCCAAAAGAGTATAGAAAGAAAATATTATAGGGGTTGGTTGGTCAATAAAAACATCATTCATACTTCAGTACATATGTCTGAGGATATATATATATACTCATGGAAAAAACAGCTAGAAAATATCAATTTTACTATTGATTGATATTTGTATTTCAAGATAACTCACTAAATAAATTTCCTAAAGACATTTTCAAAATTAAAACATTGACTGACTGCCACCTCATGGAGTTTTGTTTATAATCAACTCCTGATGTACCCATGAGTGCCTTCAACATACATAGAGACTTTTTTGTCTGGACTCCAAATAACATTTACACTCAGTTATGTGCTGGTAAACTGGCTGTGTGAAAGCAAAAAGCTTGATTTTTAGCATTTACTAACCTTCATGTTGTAAATACTTTTACTATGTCCAATTTCAAGGATGGCCGTGTTTAACAATCAGCTTGCAGCATTCCCAAAAATTTACCAATCAGTTCTCAAGAGCAGGCACCAGCCAGCTGTAGCATACCACTGTTCTACAATCAATTTTCAACAATCTGCTCCCTGAGTTACCTTTTGAACCTGAGACTTCCCTTTCGAAACGTTAACTGAAAGGTGCTATTAATACGTCCTCCCACAATTCTCTGTCTCTGCCTGTTTTCTCTCCTCCACTCTCTTTTGTCCCTTTCCCCACTTCTCCCCTCCTCTCTTGGTATCCATCATGTTTCTCATGGTGCCACTTATCAAAAACTAGAGCTAACGGCAAATCACTTTACCTTGTCTTTTCACTCCATTGTCTTTATATGAATTTCCTCACCTTCCCAAGGCCACTTTTCTGCAAAATCTTGGCCTAGAGTCAATCCAACTATCTGCTGTATCTCTTAGTAGATCAGCATCAGAATGCTGACACACCCTAAGAAAATCTCACAGTCACAAGAATTGTGGCAACAAATTTATAGTGCCCAATAGCAAATGACACTTTCAGCTTTACTAGAAATTTCTTTTTCTATGTCCTTGAAAGATTCTTTTTAGTATTCCCCTCAGTAGCTTCTCCAAACTTGTACCACCGCCTTCACCTCCTGCAACAATTTCACAGCACTTGTAAATGAGCAGCCCTTGTCCTTCCAGACAACTTTAAAAAAGGATTAAAAAACAAGGTACAACTACCCCAACTTTTCACTTCTATATCAAAAGCTTAGTGTTCTCTTCAAGGACTCTCACACTATTTCCTCAAATTTCAGAACAGAGCTTGTCCTTTCTCTTCTAAAGACTAACCTCTCCTTCTGCCCATAGTACTTACAGTCACCTTTCTCCCACCTGATAAATTCACAACCTTACTCTTGCACCTAACTCCTTTTCTAAAACTCTATAAACATGTTTATATTTTCCTTATTAAATAATTTTAAAATACCTACCCAAGCAGATAATAAAAATAAAGTCTCTTTTTATATGAAAAAACCTTCTTACACTTGCCCAATCTCTCTTTTTTGCTTCTAAGTTCCTGAAAATAATAGTCTATTTTCTCAACCAATTTCCCCCTTTCTTTCAGAATTTTATTATCAAGTTAACACAGATTTAAGATATTTTATAAAACATTTTAAGTGTTGTATAAAGATTAATACAAAATAAAACCAACAATCTGTCAGCTGTAATCCAACCAAGTGACTACATCATTGATATTTTAGCACATTTCCTTCCAGTCTTATTTCTAAACCTGTATGCGTGTGTGAATGTGTGTGCATGTGTGTGTGTGTGTGTGTGTGTTTTCAATGTTAGAATTAAATTGCATATGGCTTTATAATTGCATACTGTTTTCATTTATCATTATGTCATGTGCATTGCTTAATTATGAAGCTCTTCCATAGAAACTTGATGTTTAATGTCTGTATCATTTTTTAGTGAATAAATGACCTTTAATTTACATAACTGTTCTGTGCCAGGGCTATGCATCTTTTGGCTTCCACGGGTCACATTAGAAGAAGAAGAAGAACTGTCTTGGGCCACACATAAAATACATTAACACTAACAACAGCTGATAAGCAATAAAAAAAATAGTGCATAAGTCTCATAATGTTTTAAGAAAGTCTAAGAATTTGCATTGTGCTATATTCAAAGCCATTCTGGGCTGCATATAGCCCATGGCCATTGGTTGGACAAGCTTTTTCTATGCCATTCACTGAACAGTCTTCCTAAAATCAGGCTTTAACTTCAATTGCTTCACTGACCGATGACCTTCTACTTGCCAAATCCAATGGTCTAATTTCTTTCCCTATTTTACCTGAAGTCTCTATGACAGTTAACAATATTGTATACTACCCTTTTCCCAAAATAGTTTACCTTACCTTTTATAATATGACTTTTTTTAGAGACAGGGTCTCATTCTGTCACCTGGGCTGGAATGCAGTAGTGCAATAAAATCACATTTTAAAAAATCATTGTCAAGCAACTGGTCCAACCGTTTTCCTAGGTCAACTTTGTTTGTATCTCTTCTATATACTCGAGGGTTCTGTCCTTCTCACTTTATTCTTGATCATTTTTCATTCACATCATGACTTCCAGTAAGATTTATACATGAAAAGTTCTATATGTGTCATGGTTTTCTTAAAGATTTATTTTACAATTCTCATAGGTAAGAAACTTTTTTCCACTGGTTTATTTTTTGGAATCTCAAAATGCATAGGTTATGCACCTTTGAGAAGGATCAAGAAGAGAGCATATAATTGTCACTGGGTCCTAGATGACAGAATCAGCTTTCATAGTCAAGTGAATAAAAATCTGAGGCTCCAGTGTAGAGGCAGGAGATATTATACTTAGGTATATCTGACTCAGAGAATGGCATTATTTTCAATAGTTAGAACAACGTAGTCAAATTTATATAAGAACAACATAGTCAAATTTATATACCAAATCACCAACTTATCATGATGTAGTTTAAAGAAACATTTCTCTTTCTTTTAGCCCTATTCTATAATAAGTTATTGGATTTAAAAAATGAAGTTTGTTATAACCACATTGTCACTAAAACACTGAAATGTACTGAAATCAATCTGCTCTCTCTTCTTTGGGTCAGCATGAAGTAAAGGAGCAAGTTATCAAATTTTCCTCCAGGTAGCTTTTATTGTGGATATTAATCACTTAAATACATCTTTCTCAGAGGGAGAAAGGCTCAATGTTCCATGAAGTCGACTTATTCTTCACAATATACACAGATGGAATATTAGAAGCAAAATGATTTCATAGCACAGAATGCTTTATGTTACAGGTAAAATCCCAAGACAAGAAGTGCTGTTACCAAGATGAGATTTTCATAACAAAACTGTTCTATGATCTGGTATTTGGTAACAACAGTATTTTATTGAGCTGGCTAGGGAATGTTCTTTGGTTCCAGCTTCTACAAGAGTCAATCTGCCTATCAAAAGTAGCTGATACTATAGGTTATGCTTTAGGTAAGGCAGGAGAGACAAAATTCTCATACTTTATATAATGACACTTTTAGCTTTTACAATTGGCTTGCCATCTTTTATTTCATTTTATTATTATTTTAAATTTGAGAAACATGATAAAATAAGAATTATCTTCTTTATTGAGCATGTCGAGGAACGGATGCTTAGATGACTAAACTGACTTGCTAAATTTCAATAGAAACTTAAACTCCATAACTCCCAACCCAGAGTATTCTCCTTTACTGGCATTTTATTTGATTTGTCACTAAATAGAAATCACATTTTCCTTTGATTATTCTAATTCACCTCACACACCTCACATGCATTTCTCTTTTATAGGAAAAGGACAGAAAAAGAGTAAACACCAGAGGACATCTTTTTCCTTATTGGGTTTTCACCCTTTTATTTGCTATGTCAACTGTTGCTATTCTACGACACGTAACTAAAAATTTGATTTCTAAACAACATTCTCTGTAACAAAAATATATTCAGTGAACTAAATTGGCATTGCAGTGCATTTTTTTTTCCAGTCAACTAAATTGGAAAGGCAATGCATTTTTTTTTTCGTGGAGGAAACTAAGATCAATTGTGGGAAAGAGATTATTTCATGACACCATAATGTCATGATACCATATTGTCATGAAAAAATCACTTTCCCACAATTGATCTTAGTTTCCTCCATGAAAAAAGGTAATAACAAAAAACCGGTCTCACGGGGTTATTGAAAAGCACTACTGCCTACACATTTGCCCTGACCAGAAACCTGGGAATATTTCCAGGTGTCTTCTCCTTCCCTCCCGTCCGTGTCCCCAAACAAATGAAATGCTATTGATGCTTTTGATTTCATGCCCTGAAAAGTCTGGTATCTAGCCTCTCTTCTCCATTTCCACCAATTTTTAATTTTGATTCTTACCACTTTACTAGAAATATTCTTAATCTACAATCTATTTCCAGTCTTGTCAGTTTCAGTTATAGTATACTTGTACAGAAAGAGTTACAGTAATGGATGCAACAGATGAATTCTGGAGGCTCCTTTGTGTCCCTGAATTTCTACTTTTCAATGCATTTCTTGATGCCTTTGCATATGTCAGATGGTCAGCCTTAATTAGGTACAGACTGTTTTTCTTAGGCCCCTTAAACACATACTATGTTTTACTTAGAGGATGCCATTAACCAGCAGTACCAGAAGGAGCCAATAGGAAGTGCTAATGGAGCCTAATATGTTCCAGAGAAGGCAGCCAAGCTCACATTCACCAGGGAACTGTATCTACAAGACAGTGAATCTGAAATGGTGAATCTCAAATTTGCTATATTGAGAATGCCCTATAAAGTCCCAGCATTCTCTTATAAAATCTATATTTTTCCCTCACTGAAAAAGATCCTTTCGGCTATGAAGATTCAATCTAATGAAAATTCCTATTGATGGTCAAAGTTAATTTTTAAAAATATTTCAAATAAATTCTAGCTGGAGCCCATTAGGCTATTCCTTAAAATTTCCTTTCTGCAATAAGATTCCAAGAATATCTTAAGTTCAAAGTCCCTTGAAATGTAACTTCCATAAGTTGCTAGGAATTTTAAAGTCTAAAAAAGTATACTTACACCAAAGTTGGTTGCAGCAAATCGATCTGAAGCAGAAACCTGTACATTTGTTGAAACTGTTGTGTGAGCATAGAAAGCATTTATATTAGCCAGCAAGGTGCTCATGACGGCAGGGACACCAGGGCACATGTATTTTGAAGACAGACATGAAAAGTGCCTACAAGACAAAAAAACATAAAGTGCTTTTAAAACAAAAATTAATTCAGTGCCTCTTTCAATGATATGAAGTTAAAACCAAGTAAAAAAAATTAATTAATTGGTGGAACAACAGAACTTCTAATGTAAGCAATTCAGTAATTCCACAGCTACATCCATGAAAAGGAGAGAAAACTGCACCATCTCTAAATGAAAGAAAAACAATTTTGGCCTTTTGAAAATTTCTCATTCACAAATGTGAAGTGGCTTAATTAGAATGTAATTTGCCCTTTTTGCCCATGGATGCTGTTCAGAAAGCATTGTTAAAGTCTCCCTTGAGCCTGCTGTCATGTTGAAGTCAGAGTTTTCTAAAGACCCTGAACAGCTGCAGAAGCTCTGCATCAGAGGGTTGAGTTTGAAAAAGTTAATGCAAGTCTGTGGAGCGATGGGGAACACTCGGTCTGTGTGGTAATGAGAGATCCAACCACCAAGTGCTACAGAGGCTTTAGGTTTGTCACATATGCCACGTGGAGGAGGTAGATGCAGCCATGAACGCAGGGCACACAGGTGGATGGAAGAGTTGCGGAAACAAAGAGAGGTGTTTCAAGGGAAGATTCTCAAAGACCAGGTGCCCACTTAACTCTGAAAAGGACCTTTGTTGGTGGCATAAAAAAGACACTGAAAGAGAGCACCCAAAAAATAATTTTGAACAATACAGGAAAATTGAAGTGACTGAAATAATAACTCAGGCAGTGGCAAGAAAAGGGGTTTTGCTTCGTAACCTTGGATGACCATGACTCCGTAAATAAGATTGTGAATCACTGGTCATTAGAGAAATGCAAATCAAAACCACACTGAGATACCATCTCACGCCAGTTAGAATGGTGATCATTAAAAAGTCAGGAAACAACAGATGCTGGAGAGGATAAGGAGAAATGGGAATGCTTTTACACTGTTGGTGGTAGTATAAATTAGTTCAACCATTGTGGAAGAAAGTGTGGCAATTCCTCAAAGATCTAGAACTAGAAATATCATTTTGCCCAGCAATTCCATTACTGGGTATATACCTAAAGGGTTACAAATCATTCTACTATGAAGACACATGCACATGTATGTTTATTGCAGCACTGTTCACAATAGCAAAAACTTAGAACCAACACAAATGGCTGTCAGTGACAGACTGGTTAAAGAAAATGTGGTACATATATACCATGGAAGACTCTGCAGCCATAAAAAGGGATGAATTTATGTCTTTTACAGGAACACAGATGAAGCTGGAAACCATCATTCTCAGTAAACTAACACCAAAACAGAAAGCCAAACACCACATGTTCTCACTCATAAGCAGGAGTTGAACATTGAGAACACATGGACACAGGGAGGGGTACATCACAAACCTGGGCCTGTTGGAGGTTGAGGGGCTAGGGGAGGATAGCATTAGGAGAAATACCTAATGTAGATGACAGATTGATGGGTGCAGCAAACCACCATGGCATATATATACCTGTATATAACATGTAACAAACCTGCATGTTCTGCACACGTATCCCAGGATTTAAAGTATATATATATATATGAAAGAAAGAAAAGAAACACTTTACTATAAATGGTCACACTGTGAGGTAAGAAAAGCCCTGTAAGAGCAAGAGGTGGCTAGTGCCTCGCCCAGTCAAAAAGGTCAAATGAGTCCTGAAATCTTTTGTGGTAGTCATGGAGGTGGCTTCAGGGGGATAACAACTTTGGTCATGGAGGAAAGTTCAGTGGTTGTGTGGCTTTGGTGGCAGCTGTGGTGGTAGTGGATATGGTGGCAGTTGGGATGAGTATAACGATTTGGTAATAATGGAAGCAATTTTGTAAGAAGTAGTGGAAGCTACAACAATTTTGGCAATGTAAGAGTCAATCTTCAAAAGTTCGACCAATGAATGGTGAAAGCTTTGAGGCGGAATCTCTGGCTCCTGTGGCCATGAAGGTCAATATTTTGCTAAACCAGGAAACAAGGTGGCCAAGATGGTGATTCCAGTAGCAGCAGTAGCTATGGCAGTGGCAGAAGTCTTAATTACTGCCAGGAAACAAAGTTTGGCACGAGAAGAGAGCCAGAGAAGTGACAAGAAAGCTACAGGTTACAACACGGTTGTGAATTCAGCCAGGCACAGGGGTGACACGGCCTAGCTGCTGTCAAAGAAGCTTTAGACAATACTTGTGTCAAAAAAGTTTTAGACAATATTCATATGTATAGGCAAAAAACTCGAGGATTATACTTGTGACTGATTACATAACAGGTGATCTTAGTTTCTGTTTTATGTAAAGCATTCCAATAAACGTTTTTAATGCAGATTTTTGCACCCTTTCCATTGATTACTAAATGTAATAGTTTGATCATAATGCTAAATAAATGCATCTTCTTTTTTAAAAAGAACACAATTTGCCACAAAGATGTGTAAACTCAACTGTGAATGTTCCATGTATACACCAAAAGTACAATTTCCAGTGGAATTTAGCACCATCAGAAAACAACCATTCAGGAATCTTCTTCCTCAACCCTGCTTCTACTTATTTTGGTTCCAGAAATGCCATATTTTAACCAAAACGTTCTTTTCATTTGCATGCTTCTCACAGTTGTAAAATAGCAAGACACCCACCTCTCATTATACACTGAATGAATAAGTCAACTTAACATCTGACTTGAGTCCAGTTTGTATAGTCTTTCAGAAAGAATGATCTTCCGTAAGCAATTATCTTTTCTAAGCACTTTGTTACAGACAAGATTTAATTCGGCAAACAGATGAATAATGAGAACAGATTGAATTACGCCAGCCTTAAGTTTAAAGATCATTTCTTTTAAACCTTGAATAATGGTATCATTTATACCCATCAAAAGCATGAAGTGTCCAATTTTGTTACATCTCTCAAGGAACCCTGTTTCATTTGAACTATAGCAAAAGACTTGAAAATGGAAAGCATAGCTTATGATAAAAGTGAAAGATAAAATATACAGAGGACAGAAAATATCACCGTATAATGTGATCCTATTTTGTTCTCCTATCTTACAGTGCCACTGAGGCATCTATACATTTCTGACCTTTGTATTATAGAACTTATACATAAACAGCTAGACCTGAGTGGCACTCCTACAAAAAATAGATGGTGGTCCTGAAAACTATGGCTTTTCTTAGATCATAACCAGGTAGCTTGCTACCTACCTTGTCATAATGCTGATTAACAAAAAAGGTTAAATCTTTAAAGGTGCATCTTCAAGAATCATGAATAGAAATTTATGCTATGAGAGTTCCATGATTCATGCTACTTAACCCTGCAATCAGATTATTAATGATGGCTTCTTTAAGGAAATAAGTATTATGGCTTTATTATACACTAAATGTATTATAATTAATCTGTATTGACAATCCACAAATAATATAGTTTGTTTGAAAAAAAGAAATTATTTAAACAATTGAAATGAAAAATTCTTTGAGCTATGCTATCACATTTCCTTTTTTTTTTTTTTAACAATTCACAAGTAATTACATTCATCAGACTGAAATCACAGGTCAAGACTTGTGGAAACTGTAATGCATAAGATGGTGTAGGTGACAATAAAGGAACTAGGGGGAAAAAGAGATATAGAAACACCATAGTCAATTTTGAAAATACACTGTTAAGGCACTCAAAAACTAAGGGGTTATTACCCAGACCATGCATTGTGTATTTAAAGGGATGCTGGGGTCATCATGCTGAGTAATCTTATTCTTGGTTTTAAACATGATTGGAGTTCTCATAAAGCAGCCATGTTACTCAGGCTTTGCTTTTATAGCTGCCACCTTGAGATTTGTGGTGCTTGGTTAAGGAAGCAACAGCAGCTTAGTGGTTACTTTAAGTATAGATAGTAGAGCAACACAGGAATAAGTTAAAATTAATTAGGCAAACAGATGTAAGATGTAATGTAAGAATGAATGGTAATTACTGATAGAGAAATTCTGCATGGTTTTTCAGTACATAGAATGACCTGATGCTAAATGATAAAGATATACAGATTCTTACATATGGAGAAAAAAAAACACAACTTAGAGATCACCCGATTGAACCTCCCTCTCAAATCTAGAAACTTTGTTATTGGATCCCTGACTGATAGTCATCATCCCTTTGTTTGTCTACATCAAGTAACAGAGAGCTCACTACTTTGGAGGGAACTCGTTTCATAATTGGACAACTATAAGGGAGTCTGTGACTTTGACAACTGTTGCATCCCTTGCCAAAGACTATAATTCAGAACACCTAGTGTAAAGTTATAGCACAATTAAAATGAAACTATCATGAACAGTCTAAGGGAAATGAACTGCTCTGCCTAAAGAAAGGCAGGTTAAAAACTCTCAACAACCTGTGAGAGGCCTACAAATGCAAAAGAATGTTTTGGTTAAAATATGGCATTTTGGGAACCCAAATAAGTAGAAGCAGGGTTGAGGAAGGAGGAAGACTCCCGCATAGTTGTTTTCTGATGGTGTTAAATTCCACTGGAAATTGTACTTTTGGTACATTCACAGTTGAGTTTATACATCTTTGTGGCAAATTATGTTCTTTTTTTTTAAATATCTGATTAAAAATGGCCAAAAGACCTGAATAGGCAGTTATCAAAGGAAGACACAGAAATGGCTAAAAGGTATATGAAAAAATGTTCAACATCACTAATCATCAGGAAATTGCAAAATAAGACCACATCAGATATGACCTCACTCCTATTAGAATGGCTAATATTCAAAAGACAAAAGGTAAGATGTATTGGCAAGGATGTGGAGAAAAGGAAATCCTTGTACAATGTTGGTGGGAATGTAAATTAGTGCAGCCATTATGGGAAATAGTATGGCAGTTCCTCAAAAAACTAAAAAATAGGACAATCATATGATTCATCATTCCCATTAATGGGTATATCTACAAATAAGATAGCAGCGTGTCAAAGATATATCTGCCCTCCCATGTGTATTGTGGCACTATTCACAACAGCCAAGGAATAGAATCAACCTAAGTATC